CAAGGCAGGATAGGTTCTGCCAGGTTCTGTCTCCTATTTTTCCTAACCTTTTCCTAATAAATAAATAATATACCTTTAACCATACAGTATACCTACTACCATGTATATACTCTTTTTATTGAGTTTTTATAGTAATTTTATAGTGTTTTCTTTGAGTTTTTCTTAAGTTTTTCTTGAGTTTTTATCCTATTTTTATTGTATTTTCCTGGGTTTTTCTTTCTATTTTCTATATTTTTTTATCCTATATCCTGAGTTATTTTTAAGTTTATATCTTTTGAGTTTATTTCCTTTGAGTCATACTTGAATCTACTTTGAGTTTTATTTGAGTTTTACCTTTTGTTTACACATATCTTTACCCTCTTCACATTAAGTTAAGTAGTATAGTTAGCAAGGCCAGCTTCCTATATTACAATATTTATTAATTTGTAAGCTTTTTATACAAAGTTTTTTTCATTTTCTAATACAGTATATATTGTAGTATTAATTAAAAAATTATGCATTTGATTGGTTAATTATCACGGGAAATCACGGGTAAATCCACAAAAATCAACCAATCATATAAATATCTTCCTATAAACCCAAGGTTTTCTATATTACAATATAGTATACTGTATTAAATCAAGTATATAGTATAGTTAATCTTTTAAAAAATTACTATATACAATATATATATATATATTGTATATATATTAGATAATGTACGTATGCAGTATATACAGTACGTATACGTATTGGTTAAAAATTAGTTAAATTAGCTAAATTGATTATACTGTATAGATCAAATTTAACCGTCAACCAGTCTATGTCAATTCTGGTTTTAAGATTAGAGGTTCTTAGTTTGGTATATATAATACTAGAATCGCATAGTAATTAATCTTAATTGGTCCGCTTAACATAATTAAAAAGTTGACCTATGCAATATAAATATATGTATATACCGGTCGTCCCTCATTAATATCAACCTATTTGGATCGCTTTTATATTCATGTTGATAGTGATATTAATGAGGGAACATATTTAAAGTTGATACATATGAGGGAGTTTTGATATAATTTTAGCATATTGAAATTCATTTTATAGCCAGATTGATATTAACGGGGTTGATATTAATGAGGGACGACTGTATATAATAAATACGTATACTGTATATATATCTTGAGCAAAAAAATCCACTTCTAGAAATATTATATTTTTCTAAACTGTCCGGTACTGTATAATACTGATCCGATGTTTCAGGTGATACAAAAAGCTTTTAAAAACTGAGCCACAAACAATGATACGAGAGATATTTTACTTATTTATTAAAGAATAATTTGTTAAACGTTCATGTAATTTCGACATTGAAAATTTAATCAGAATTCACTATCAATTACCATGATTTAAAGGGTTCTGATCAATCAAGAATTTTCAAGCTCCGTCTCGTTTACACTACATTTGACCCGTGAATTTGCGATTAGATAACGACTCTCCCAGGCGCGGTTCTTGGCTTTGGTCACAAGGCTTATAGAATGAGAAAAGGCTTTGTTCGTGTCTCGCGAAATGCTTTTGATCGATCGATATATCTTAAATTTTCGAGTTTTTTGAATCATTTCATTTTTCCAGCCAAGTTTTAGTGAAAGTTATACCATACCCGTTATTCTTTTAAAACATCATGCCATATATTAGTTGGTGGCTTCGCTGTATAAAAAACATGTGGCGAGGATTTCCCTGGTTGTCAAACTCGTGTAACCTAGTTCAAAATTCATGGTAATGGTTTTTTTTCTTTTTTTGAACTTTAGAGCATCTTATTCAGTCCGCTATATTTTGTCAAATTTCTTGCATTTAATATAAATTTTGCTGCTTAGGCTCCGCCCGAAATTTTGTTTCTAATTGTGGTATTGCTAAAATGGAGCCAGCGGATGAACCACCGGGCGAGTCTTTTCATACAATTCCAATTTATCAATTTGACGCGTCTTCCGATAGTGATTCTGACGACCCAGGACGCATTGTTCCTCCCGTAGGACCTGTACTTGAAACACCGCCTACCCAACCTATCCAACCTTCTCAACCTACCCAATCTATTTTATCTCATAGACTACCGGTACAACCTCCGCAACGTTCTTATACAGCACCACTAGTTCAACATGAGCGACAGCCCTCAGAAGTATCAATGGTCGCGGAATCGATACAGACTAGGCCAAGCATGGACGATGACGACTTATTTGAAGACAGCACCAGTGAAGAGGAGCAGTATCCAGAAGTTACTTCCAGAGGACTATCAACACAGTCTCCTGGAGCCCCAGTTTTACCAACCATGTCAGCGAGTCCAACTCCGGCATACGAAAGTCGAAGTATATCTGACGTTCCAGACATTCCGGGAAGGGTGGATACTCGAGGCTCTTCATTAACAAGCATTCCTCTAAGTTCCGAGAGAAGATTGCATCGACCAAGTTTGGAACAAACCCAATCGCCCCAAGGTTTGTATTGAATATTTATTTAATTAATGGATTAGTGTGCACGCTATTAGGAATGAAATTACAATACTTTGAGATTGTCAGATTTTATATATTTCACGAGACTGTTAAAATATATATATTACAAATCTCAGTCTCTCTCGAGCAAATGCCCGATAAGGTGATTATTCATAATCGAACGATTTGTAAAATAATCTATTTAACACCCGTTATTATGATCGTCCTCCCACAAGAATTTGAAATAAAAACGCGATATATGACGATTATCAGAGATCCGTCTCAAAGGATGAATTATCTAATTTCAAAAAAAAAAACCACTTCTTTTTTTTGCAGTTACACAACCTCGTGGAATACAAAAAGAGACGACGGAACCAGCATCTCCGGGATATAGGGAAAAAGAACGCCGTCGTTCAAAGGATGAGTCACATATGTATCATCATCGAGAATCATCCGATCTTTTGCCATTGACACTTGTTTCTGATCGTGGATCGAGTGGTCTTTCATTTGCAACGAATTTCGCATACCTTTCTCCACCATTTGGCCGAGTAATATCGCGTTCACAAATAATGGCACGGGTGACTTGGTTCTCTCAATTAGCTATATTTAATATTGTTTATGCAGGTTATAAGCTAGGTGGAGGAAATACTAAAGTCAATGATGGAAAAAATTACACGTCCAATCTTATCGGATTGGTCATTTTTCCCATTATATTCTTCGCGTTATATATCGTCATTGTGACAATTTGGACATATTTAGATCTTCGAAGCAAAGGATTTGACCCATCATTCACAGTCTTATATTATTCTCCTTTAATGTTTTTTTCAATATTCTTCGAGGAAAAAAAACGAGTAGATGCATCTAAGTTTCATGAGGTTAACTATGGTGCTAAATGGTGGCGATTTGGAACCACCAGAGTTCGCGAAGGTATAATCATGACTCTTTATTGTTTATTTGTATTTGCTTTCGTCTTGTCAGATATAATTAGTCGTACCATGAATCAACCTAATGCCGAAGTTTCACAAGTATTTGGTGACTTTGTACCTTTTTTTTTTATGTTAGTTGTATATTTTTTAGGGGTGATAGTATTTATTTGGGTGGTTGTTGAAGCCGTAGTATCAGGTACAATGTACGGAAGTGGGGAAGGTCGAAAAAGATTAGTTGGTGTGTTACCAGGCGCTCTTAAATCAAGGAGGGGATAAATATTTCTATTTTATTTATTCTTTTTTTTTTAACAAACATTTGGTTGAATTATTTATTTATTGTTTCATGGGCAAGTGGGGAGCATGGGAGTAGATTTATATAATTATTTATCTCATTCGATAAAAGAATTTGGGTTTCCTTGATTTATTCACCCTTAAAAAACCTCTCCTCTTGATCTATACAACAATTGAAATTATTATTCTTACATCCACCTTTTTCTATTTACAAAATTCACGAAGTTTTATTATCGTTTACGTTATGTACATTTATAAAATATATATATAATTCATGTACGTTTGTTTACACCGTTATATACATATATACATTTACATTTTTTTTCAATTTTAAGGAAGTCAATTTGTTTGTATTTAATCGATCATAAATTATGTAATAATTCGTAAAAATTCAGGTGTACACATACTGCATCAAAATAAACAATGTACTGTATTAATTGGTTTTTTTTTTCAAATACTGTCTGTATCTTTTTATCATTAAAAAAAATATATTTCGTTTATCATCAAAAAGGAAATATCGAATTATGTATTTTCTTAAATTTAGTATGATCGTTGTTGATCATATTTTGTGTTGATTATGACAAGATGAGACTTGAATAGGAGAGAAAAAACGGTATGATGGTGATCGAATGATGTATAATTTCTTGAACCCAATGACAATAGTTGTCTGCATATTCAACAACATTGGGCAGAATATGTTCATACCACCTTAGAGCAAAACCACGTGGATCCGATTAGCATAATCATCGTTGAAATGTGACAAATCCTTTAAATCATGCCTGAAAGTCTTTCCAAAATGACCTCTCAATAAAGTTCCAAAATTTGTATACCTGAAATCTTTCTGTCCCGGTCAACGGTCGAACTTAGATTAAATCGTAACAAAAAAAAATTAACGGACCACAAGATATCGATCACTGATTGGTTATCGTAATGTAATAGTCACGTGTGCATTTACGGGAGATTTTAATATTCGCGAAATTCAGTTTCGCTTGCACGTGTAGAACACAGAAGGTGTACATTTAGCTCTAACCCGAGTTTTGGAACGGAACCATGGTGTGCATATAGTGGATGTACATCTATAGAGATTTAAAAACTCGATGAGTGTTCGAGTATTCGCTCAATTCTTTTACCGATGCCGAAAATCTAAATTTGTAACCAAACTATACTCTATCTGTAATGAGAGCATCTAAACTTATTCTAAATTAACATATATTGAAGCATTTTATCATATGATGGTTAAGTGGGTTTATAATATTAATGTAAAATGCAAAGATAAATGTAAGATTGAATTGAAATTTCGAACTCGTAAACTAATTAAAATGATTTATTAAATTAGAGCACAAACATTTATTAAATTGGTTTCTTAAGAATAAATTGATATGAAGAATGAAATCGAGTTAAAATAAAAATTGAGATACCATTTTTAACCCTATAATTCTCTTATATTTTCTATTAATAATTCTAACTCAATCTCAAAATATTTAAAAAAAAGGAAGGGCTAAGAAAAAAAATGCATCCAAAGATTTGACCATGATGATATTCAAATCACATGAATTTAAATTGAAATATACAGATATTAATATTATTTACGTAAAATATTATTACTATTCTACCCGAATAACCACTGTCTTAACCTTATCCATGGTTACCAAGATGGACCTTACCTGAGTCCAACATCTAAACACAAAAACCTTCATATGATTAGAGAGGGCAGTTTGATGCAGCTACAATTGCAGCATAATAACCACTTTAAGGCCTTGGAGCATGTGATTGTTCAAGGCTTCTCAGCTGCAGTTGCAATGCAAGGACTTTTATATGGTTAGTTTATTTTTTATTATGAGAATATATTACTATATATAGATAACATATCATTCCAATTCTCTTGATATGCTATAAATTCTTGATGATCCTTCGTCCCTTTATAAGTATATATAGTATCTACAGATTAGAGCCGGCTAAGAGCTAACGATTCCTATTTTCCATATATTTCTTTATTGTTATAAAGCCTCTCATCGAGCAATTAAGATGTATTTCTTATCAACTTAACAAATTTTATTTGTTTCTGAGTTTGACACTATTGATCAAAAATGGGACATATGTTTGGATTTTAGTTATAACCCAAATTAAGTAGAAATCCCAAATCCCAAACCAAAACTATGTAATAATGTCATAATTCAAAAAGGTTTGGACCGCAACCCTAATTGATTCCATTGTGATCCTTAATCTGCATTTTTTTCATGTCTATCCTTTCTTTTAGTTTCACCTTTAAAACTTCTTTGAGCTTTTCCTTGACTCTTGATCTCAATTTCTGCAATCTTACCAATGGACTATCACCTGAATTCCATATTTCATTACCCCTTTCGTCAAAGCTTAGTCGAGGAGTACCAAGTTGCTCCACAGTAAATGATGCGCTTACCGCTCCATAAAGAGCAGCTTCAAATACGTCAAAATTTGACTTAAGCAAACCAACCATAAAACCACCACAAAATGCGTTTCCAGCTCCGGTTACATCTACAACATGTGGATTTCTATTACCATCTTTTAATGCTGTCCAATATGCTGGTATTATTTCCTTCTTTTCTTTTGTTGCCACCAAACAACCTTTGTAAGATGCTCGAATAACGACACTCCCATTTCCATGAGGGCCAATCTGATGTTTTAAAAATTTATCCGCCATATATATTAACATTTCTTCTGTTAAAAATTTTTCATCTTCTTCTTCATCTTCAGTAATTAAACCTAACAACGCTGCCGCTTCTTCGTGATTTGGTGATACAACATCCACCATTTTCATTGCTTCAATACAAGATTGAATATTCTCCTTTGAGGCGCCTTCAGGTATAGGTTCCCAAACAAAAATAGGTGGCGGCAATCGTTTGTCGCGCAATCTCAGGATATCTGTAACATGTTGTGAAGCCCAAATTGATGAACAGATAAAATGAAAAATTTTAGCATTCAAATAAGAACTTGGTAGATCCGACGGAACCGTTCCTATAGGTGGTGTCTGATATGCGAATACACGTTGATTCACAGTTTTGAATGTGTTTAACCCACGGATAGATGGTAGATTTGAATGCCATATTTGTGTAAGTGAAATATTGAGCTCCAATAAACTTTGAAGGATGTTTAGAGGAAAATCGTATCCACTGTGAAAAGAATATGCTATACGTTGAGATTCTTGACGTGAAAACCATATTCTCATTCCTGTTGTCAAAAATTTTTAATTTGTAAGAAGAATGTAATAGAATGTTTAACTTTCGAACTTTAAAAATATACCATAGGTCGCGTACACGCCACCACCACCTAGAACATCTTTTTGAACGGTTCCGTCTAGAACAGAATGACAGTATGATTCAGAAACAGTTTTTCTATTTTTTTTTTTCTTTTCTTTTTTTAGCAAGTAGCAACTTCGATCACCTGAAAATTTGATATCGTCAATGATACATTGACTTAATGAACATAATAGTGGATCACTCATTACGAAACCAGAAAAGAGAAAAGTATTTTAAGCTAATGTTTATATGTTTGTGATAATTTAGTATTCTACAAAATTTAGGAACGAATTTGGTGGCATTCTTTATTAAATTTAAAAAATTTAAATCTCGCAACTTGCCACGTTCATTATACGTTTACACATACACATATATAAACTATGCATATGCTATATATATATACTATATATATATATGTATATATATATCATTATATATATAGCATTTTATATACTATATATATATATATATATATATATATATGTATACGTATACGTAAATATACAGTGAATTTTATTTGGTTGACGAAATTCTGATAATAATAAAAATATTGTACTAACGCTAAAAGTAGAGAATTTAACAGTTTTTTACAAGTATGATTAATTATAATTTTAAAAAAATAGAAAAATTCAAAACTTCGTATTATTATTATTTTATCAAATATAAGTATATATTTTATTTTAAATCTGGATTATTTTTATTTTATACAATATATTTATTTTTTTTGAAAATAATTTTAAATATAATATACAATAGTATTTTTTTTTTTTTTATCTATTTTTCAGCAATTTTTTTAAACAAATTAAAAAGAAAAAATCTATTTGTAATAGCCTGTTACGCGCTTATTTGTAATAGTCTATTAATGTTAGGGTTAGAATTAGAGTTAGTGTTAGTGTTAGATTAGGTTTAGAGTTATTTGTCAAAGTTAATACAAAATTGCGAAAATCATTTTTTATTAACGATAGTATAATTTTGTTTGTCTCATTTGCCGGTATGAATATTTGCGAATAGAGTGTAACAGTTTTTTGCTATATATGGATTAGATTGTAACAACTTTCTATTGTATATGGTTAGATTGTAACAACTTCCTACCGTATGTGGATTAGATTTAATTGGATCTACACTCAGAACTTCCTTGTAATTCTGAGAAAGGAAATTTTCATCCGTCATTTTTATAAAGCAAGTGCAAGTGCAAATGCAAGTGTAAGTGCAAGTGAACTTGCAATTGATATTGATATTTTATTAATAAAATTTTTGTCAGACACTGAAACAATAGTAAACT